ATATTTTGTTTATATTACTTTTCTAGCTGTTACATAAATTTAAACAAAATCATTTTACCTCATATAAATTATATTCCCTGGGTATACAATTAATTTGCTGCTTGTAAACAAAAGAGCTGAAGAAAGATCAAGAAATATTAAATTTAAATGCAATTACCGTTTGATTCAAAATTTAATAATCTGTCTATTAAATTTCAAAGGAAACAAATGTTGATATATGCGTTGAATAAACAAATCTTTAAGCAAAAATATATACATATTTACCTTTTATACTATATACATACATATATGTATATAATTACCTTGCCTTATGTGTAATGCATATCTATAATTAGAAGAGTCCTTTTCTCTTTCTCTTCCTCTCTCTGTCTTTTGCAATTAGGACAAATAGCACAAAATTGTTATTTTATTGATAAAGACCACAGAGACTACTCTTGCACTGTCATAAATTTGTGAAACATCAATTTTCATTTTCATAATTAAAATTTGCTTGAAATTGCGACGTGCAGGAGTCAAATTTGATGAATCTTTTATAAAGTGCGCACGCCTGTCAAAGTTTTTCCTTCAAGCATTCTTAAATGCTACCTCAGCCCGGGCTGACTGGGAAAATTCGCTTGAAAACTTTTGATGTGGTTGAACTGAGCTGCTGTCCAAAGTTAATAAGCTGCGGCAACAAGTCGAGGGCATAGAGGGAATCATCCGGGCGAGTCCCGTTTGCCAAGAAAGTGCTCACTGGCTTTCTGCATATCTGTGGCTAAGCAAACTTAGCGCCTGAGCTCTAGAAAATGGTGACAATTGAAATATTTCTGCATAAATTAGAATGTAAATTGAGTTGAAATTGCTTCGAAAAGGTAATATATGACTAAGAGGTACCCTGTTGCTGTGATGCTGTCATCTTATTCTTCCATCAAGGTTCAATTGATTCGAGCTTCCTCGGCTCTAGTTACAAATATCCATTGATACTTGAAATTGAGTGCTCATCTTAGACTTAAGCTGTTGCTGATTCAAATGCCACTCCTAAATCCCTTTGGCTGTAGTTAGAAATTCCCATTGAGCCTTGATTTAATAGCTAAAGCAATGACTATGATAAGCAGTTTGATGAACAAGTAGAAGAAGTCTTCGTTTTGTTAAGCCAGATTATTGAAAGTTAGCTATATATATTTAACGCTAAGATCCCTGATAAAGCAGTTTCAATAAGCCAGTACCAGCAGCTTCTCTCAAGGCAGCTCCCACTGAAATTTGACATTTAATTATATTTAAGCACCGCTTTAAAGTTTATGAGACTAAAGCGTAGGACCCAAAGCATATTCAAGAGATCAAAAATAACATCTCGAGTATGTGAAGAAGTTGGCTTCTGTAGACATCTTGCCTCTTGAGGCAGAGTATTTCCAAACACGGCAGGGTAAATCGCCTCTGCATTTAAATTTATTTTTATATTTATTGAAATTAAATTTGTACATTTTCTACTGGAAATTAGAGCGCTTCGTAGCACACGACCTTCGGCTGGCTTCAAATGCAAAACCTTGACTTTAAGCAAACATAAAGAATTTAATATAAATTGTGCATGTTTCTGCAAGCTAATTGCAATATGTATCCACAAGCTGAGCTTTAAGTTACAGAATAATAGCGCTGCCATGTTTATATCCTCAATCAACTGGAGCCGCTGGCTGTTCAGCTTCACACGACGTGCACCACTAAGGAGTTCATATGCGACGATGCTGTCATTACATTTCCAGCCATTAAACACACACACACACACATACTCACACCCATAGAGAGAAAGACACTTTCTCTTATACGCGGTGGGTCGTAAAATGTAACTGACGTTCTGGCTAGCTGGATTGCTGGTTCGGGCCAACTTCACTGGGATTCACTGGCTGAAAAGGACGTCGCAATAATTGAAATCTGTGCGTGGCTTTTGCATTGACAGCTCCCAGGCATTTCTTTGTCATAAAAATATGAATAGTTCGTCTTTCGACAGTCACGGTTCACTTCCGATTGCTCTACGCGAACGGACGACTCAAGTAGCTTTAAAGCCTTTAAAGTCCGCTATAGACTTCAAAATGCATTTAGTTTGTGGTCAACAGTTTAATGCCGAACATAAAAATCTGCATAACACATAAAAAGCTGTTAAGGCAACAAGCTTTCATGGTAATGTCAAAAGTTAATGCAATAAGAAAATAAACAACTGAGGCTACAGCAGTTGAGAGTGCCTGACTAGGAAGCACCTTGACTATAGCTTCTCGCATAGCAACAGACGAGCGCAGTATGCCTATGCCATATTAATATCGACTAAATCGGTATGAAAAGGCATAATATATTGTATATATAAAAATGTAATTTTAAATTTATTTATCAAAATTATTTATTAGAATCGATTTCTTCTAAAACGTGGCTACGTCAATCATTTTATGGAACCAATCAGTTTCCGAGCTAAAGCTTCTGAATGTTTTTTATTAAATAAATGTTGTAAGATGATGCTTCTGAATATTCGCCAAATGTGGTCTCCATATTCTTCTCCTCTAAGTATTTCCTCTCAATATTTCTTTCATGTGCTTCCACTAAGAATATAATTTATTTCTTCTAAGTGTTTCCTCTAAGAATTTCTGCTAAGTGTTTCCTCTAAAAATTTCTTCTAAGTGTTTCCTCTAAAAATTTCTTCTAAGTGTTTGCTCGAGAAATTTCTTCTAAGTCTATTTCCTCTAAGTATTTTGTCGCAGAGTTTCTTCTAAGTCTATTTCCTCTAAGTATTTTGTCGCAGAGTTTCTTCTAAGTATTTTCTGATAACACTCCTCTTCAGTTCACCTCACTTCACTTTACTGCAATGTACGAATGACCCCCACCAGGTCTGGGCGACTGAAGAAATGCTCCCGGTGCTGCCCATTATATAGGGCGACTTTCACTCAATGCCTAGGTCGCGCTCAGTCGTTTAGTTCGGCCTGAGGTAGAGCTCGTTGCAGTCGAACTTGAATTGACCAATGGGAACAGCCTCTGCTGCTGTAAGCACTCTCACTTCGTTTTACTCAGCTATAAATACGAAAAGAATGCTGCTGCACACATTAGTGCTGCAAAAAAATCGATATTCCGTAATATCGATATTCACGATATTTTCAGAGAAAAAGATCGATAAAAACGATATATCGAACACTTCTTTTAAATGTTAATTTTCTTGCTTAGAATCTATTATAATTTTTATATTAATTATGACTTCTTAATGGATAAAATGGCAACCATTTCAAGATTAAAATAAAAGCAACAGCATCAAACAAAAACAAAGTTATTCAACCGAACAAAATCGTATAACAAATTATTTTTCATTAACTTAAACCTAAAACAGCAATTNAAAAAAATAGTTTGTTTACTGTTTCCGGTTTTAATGACGCCCTTCTGGAATTAGCAATCATTCCAGCTTTGCTAAACATCCTCTCGCTCTCAGAGGACGTTGCCTCATATTTTTTATTTACGAAGTGCAAAATGCTACCGGACTTGGGTGCCAATTCACTCTCTTGCAGCGATGGATGCATGCGTGTTAAGTGATTTTTAAGGCTTGTGGTATTTCCATTTGTTTTGCAGACCTTAAAGCAATTTCTGCACACCGCACAACCATCCTTTCCTTTTTCAAAATATTTCCACACTTCGGATTTTTTGGGGCTCCCACGGTCTTATTTTCTTCATCGGAGTCCACCCTCGCCGCGCCTAAAACACACAAGCTATGATTCCAAGCTTTTCCAATAGGATATATCAATTGTACTTACGTTTTCTTCCCAAAAACTGATCAATTTTTTTTCTTTCTATCGCAATTAAATTAAATCAATCAATTTGTATACAATTTAGCAAAATTAAATAAATGCGCTTCTTACACAGTTAAAACCAACGCCAAGAATAACCATTTTTTCGATATATCGATACTAAGAAAACCATATCGATCTTTTGCCAAAATTCGAAAATATCGATTATAACGATTCCGATCCGATATTTTTGCAGCACTAGCACACATATAAAGAAGTGAAATGATCTTCGGTAGCTTATCTTCGTGTCTTGCTTGGTTAGACGGACAGACTGAGAGAGAGATCTACAGGGAGGCAGAAAGAGAGAGATATACGAACACATATACAGGCAATGTCTGTTCATATTACGGTCTGCATATCTGTCTCTCTTTCTATCTCCCTGTGTGTCTCTCTGTCGGTCTCTCCGTCTGGCTCTTTGCCTGTCTGTCTAACGAATGCAAGGGACAAAGAGTAACTACAGAAGACCGTATAAGTTGTTTATATGTAGTTATAGTTAAATCGGAATAACTAAATAAATGCTTAATTATGCTTATGTATATTAATATTATAATTATTATTATATAGCATATACACCAGTTCCTTCTGTTCTATTGTTCTCTTAACGAATAGGATATAGTCTGCCCTAATTTCTAATGAATTAATTAATAATTAAATCAAGCGTTAGCCATGAATTAAATATTACTTAATATTGTATTATTCAAAAATTTAAATATTTATGCATATATACATATCTATATATGTACATCAAATACTTTTTATCCTTTCAGTACCTGCTTTTAATTTTCCATTCAATTATTTAAAAACTCAATTTTAATTTAGTTAAAAAATTTCAAACACCAATGCACAAATTTGTTTAAACTTTTAAATTTATTTTTTTCTGCCAATTTCAATTAAAACATGTACTCAATTTACGTTTAATTCAAGTTGAATTTGTGTGTGTGTGTGTTTTTTTTTTATATACAGCGCACAACAATAATAAACAACAACAGAAATATGCAAACATTTATCGCAGCGTAAAAAACAGTTTGGCAATGAGAGAGGAAACGAGGCATGCGGAAATTGAATTAATAGTTTACGCTTAAACAGTTTTGCATTCATTGTGATTGCTAAAATTGCAAACTTGGTCAAGCAGAAAAAAAAAGTGAAGCTCCAATCCTCAGCCATGATGAGCAGTGTAAGCAGCATAGCCATGGACATGGATATGGACGCCGAATCCGAGTCGCCTCTAGCCCCTTTGAATGTCACGCGAGCCCTCTGGGAGCTGGCGCTGACAACAACAACGGAGACAGCATTTTCTGATGACAGCAACAACAACAGCATCGCCGTCACTGAGATATCCTATGTGCCGTATGCCCGGCGACCGGAAACGTACATAGTCCCAATACTGTTTGCCATTATCTTTGTGGTCGGCGTTTTGGGCAATGGAACTCTGATTGTGGTCTTCCTGAGTGTGCGACAAATGCGAAATGTGCCAAATACGTAAGTCCACAAAAATTGCCCTATTACTCTCCATATTAATAATAATAATAATTATGATGATACTAAATATTACTGAAATATGGAATATTATAATAATACTATATAATAATATTGCATGTATAACTATTACAAGAAATATGCAATATTATTAGTATA